CAAGTATATCTGCCTGGAAAACACTTGGTCTATCCGGAAGTCGGTAAGACCTTCGAGAACACCCCCGAATCTACACCTGAATCCATCTTGGATCCGTCAGTAAATAGCGCAATATTAAGCTCCTTCGGTAGTTAGGAAGTCCCAACCTAGGTGTCAGATAATCTGATGGTCCAGCAAAAACATCCTTCGGTAATCTTTCAAGAATACTGCTGTGACCGTAGAGTTCCTCCGTCCAGCAAACAGTTTCTCTGAGCCTGATTGTACTACTAGAGGCCAGCTTTTTAATATGAAGATCTAATGGGAGGAGGTGGAGAAGCACATTGAGAGCATCTGAGGGCGCCAATCTTAACGCTCCTGTAATGCACACACACGCACTCCTCTATACCTTTCCAAGCTTGGATATATTGGTTGTCTTTTTCAAAGGTGGTCACCATACCAGGGATCCATAATGTGAGGATTGGTCCCACTATGGCAGTGTATATCCACTTAGCCATACTCGGCTGGAGCCCCACTTTTTACCTATCATTTTTTACACGTGTAGAGGGCAACGTAGGCGTTTTTTGTTTTTTCTTCTGCGTTAGTTCGCCAGTTTAGTTTCGGATCAAGGATTGTACCAAAATAGATATGTAGAATGTATGGGAGGGATCTTACAAATCTATTGTATCCCCCTTTCTTGAGTTATAACTCATCATACGTAGGGCTTCGACAAAAGCCAGTATCTGAGACGGTTATATCTATTAAGATTAGTTCTCTATTTCCGATATCAGTATACCAAAGTTTATAGCACGAATGGTTGTCGCCTCGGTGCACTCAGTAATGAGGTGTTCTAGTGTTTCCCTATTTTCCCCACAGAATCCGCATTTGCCGTTGTTTCTTAGCAATCTATGGAAGTATTCGTTTACAGTGTCCTTTAAAAGGACTGCAACCCTGTGACAATTCGAAGATTGTTCTCATTTAAATCAAGAAAATATTTTATTTTTCTCTGTCGTAGGTTCTGAGAAATTTCTTCGAATGTCTTAGACCGTTGGAGAATTCCCAATCCAGGTTCCGGATGGAGTTTTAATTTAGTAACTTTTTTTTTCCTTGTCTTTCCGTGTTTGCTCCTTTTCTAGCTAGATTGTTTGCTCTTTCATTGCCTTCTATCCCTTGGTGTGCCGGCACCCAGAATAGGTGGACTTTATTATCTTTGCCTAATTTGTTCCGCTTCGGATATATACTGCGCTATATCTACATAATATATTTAGCGAAAACCTTAAATAAAATTTAAATATCACGTAACTGTCCAAGAAACTATCCTTGACTTTATAAATGGATAGATCTGCTTATAAATGGATACATCTTTAGAAATGGATAATGGATAGATAATACAACCACCGAATCTTAACTATTAATTAAACTGTGGTATACCTAACGCAAGAAGTGATGAAAATAATGTTTCTTCGTATGGTATACTATCTGGTCAGAGCAATTGGGGGTGTCACCATTTGATGAATGAAATTATATAAGGATAGTTTTCTTAAAGGCAAAGAGAGAACTTCACTGCAACTAACAGCTCTAATAGTCATGTTGCAATTGACTACAAGCCACTGTTTTAGTTAATTGAAAAATCGATTTAATTTTAAAATATAAGAACTTTTTATGTTGGTATATTGACAACAAAATTGGAATCAAACGAAATGAGCGGGAAAAATAATTCTAGAATAATGATGGGTGGATACATAAGATATGGGTGAATATAATACGGCTAATAAAACAAAAATGTTAAAACAAACTAACCCGTCTCTGTCTTCCACAGAAGAATCCTTTCTCGTGCCAAGATATAATTTTTCGGCAGTTGAGAAGCCGTGCGTCGTTTCCCACTACGCAGTTGCGTGTCCTGGATTGATTTTGCGTAACTATTTCCACATCGGCGTTGCCAACTGTTGCCACAATGGAAATGCAATTGAGTTCAAAATAACATATGTATATTGTTTAAACTGTATTACTGTAAGAGTCAGTTATTTTTCAAATAATATTTTAAACAAGAATTAAATAGTAATTCATTAAAAACCTAAGAACAGAATAAATTCATTCATTTATGCTGCCTGGTGACCGTTAAGGGTCGTTTACGGCGGGAAATTCCCAGAGCTTTATGGTACCTCGATGGCTCTAACTCCTAAAGGAACTGTCTTCTCTCATTTCCTAAGCGACCGTTGCCTGTGCTAGTCGAAGGTGTTCTTGTGTTGAAATAAGAAGTCCAATTAATAGGGTGAGTGTTCTCACAGGGTAACCATTTTATATATTTCTTAATACAGTGAGTGTTCTCACAGGGTAACCATTTTATATATTTCTTAATACAGTGAGTGTTCTCACAGGGTAACCATTTTATATATTTCTTAATACAGTGAGTGTTCTCACAGGGTAACCATTTTATATATTTCTTAATACAGTGAGTGTTCTCACAGGGTAACCATTTTATATATTTCTTAATACAGTGAGTGTTCTCTCACAGGGTAACCATTTTATATATTTCTTAATACAGTGAGTGTTCTCACAGGGTAACCATTTTATATATTTCTTAATACAGTGAGTGTTCTCACAGGGTAACCATTTTATATATTTCTTAATACAGTGAGTGTTCTCACAGAGTAACCATTTTATATATTTCTTAATATAGTGAGTTGTCTCTCAGAGCATACCATTTTTATCTATTTCTTAATACTATTCTACAACTGTATATTGTTTATTGTCATGAACTATTTTATTTACCAGAGATATAAGTAAAGCATAAGGTATACGGCACTGTCGCGCGCCATTCCCTTCAGTGTTTCGACCTTTTAGGTCTGTATAGCTAATTATCTTGTAACAGAGACCTCGCGTGCCATTCCCTTGGTCTCATTGCACGTTCCTGGTAATTAGTGCTAACTATTTGTTGACAGAGACCTCGCGCGCCATTCCCTTGGTCTCATTGCACGTTCACGATAGTTAAGGCTAGTGGTAAAAGTATTAGTACGTCGAGCGTCCATCCCTTCGTACTCGTGTGCACACTAAATTATATATAAACTACACCCTAGTTATAGTATATCCATTGCCTCTGATTTAGTCTCTGCGTGTATGTATATTTGTATGTGCGTATATTTTTATATGCATATGCATATGTATGTATTACATTGTTGTATTGTTATATTTTCTACTGTCTACGATTTATCTATTTTTGTATGGTTCTTTGGTTTCATTTATCAGAGAATGTTTTAACTACCCGAACAAACCTATCTGAAAACTGAGCTAATTAACATGAATAGTACCCATTAAATATTATAAGCTTTATTAATGTAAAATTGGTTGCTCAGGTATTGTTTTTCTGCTTGTTTACAGAAGTAGCGACATCCAGCCACCTCGACATCTAGGTCTCCCACACTTAATTTAGTTAATTTGTTTTTCTATTATTTGTAAGTACTTTACTTTTATATATGTATATTTTGTTCTTTTAGTTTAATGTTTTTATTTTCTAATTTTCACGCCCTCAAACCAAAATTTGATCTACATTACATTATCATTTTTATTATTTAAGGCTAGTTTTTAATGTTGTCTTGTGATTTTACTTTCTGCACGCAATTAATTTTTTTAAATTCCCAATTAATTTATTAGGAGGAGAGGTTGAAAGTTTGAAAGTTGAAATACCATAAAACATACACAATGTCATACATCATCATATTTTGCTATTTTGCTTTTCATTCATGCCTTCAGATGAAAATAGAACATTTCGTCATTGGCTGCATTATACCCTAAACCTACCATATTTAATTAAATTTTTAATGAATTTATTAACTATTTTTTACAAGACAAGGGTTAAAATATTATGTTATGTATATCCAAGAAACTATTATGTTTTAGATATGTATTTTATTCCATAGAATGGAGAAACGAAAGACCTTTTTGGCTACCTGTTTGCTTGACACCCTTCAGTGTAAAAAATTGTGGCGCCGTCCATTGATTCTTTCAGAAGCAAACAAAATCCATAGTACAAAATAGCCAGTAGAAATAATATAGGAGTAGCTTTCCAATTGATTTGAATTTGATTGGTTGAGATCAAATTTGGCAAGAGTGCTTCTTGCGGCCTATTCTGATCTGTACAGTAAATAGAATTTTGTTATATTTTTCGACATATTCTTCTTTTTCTCGTGCCGTCTCTATTAACGGATGTAGGCGACCCCTCTTTTTTAAGTACCGTTTACACTCTCAGTTATTTTGCGCAAACCGGTTTGCTCAAACCGAAATGGACCAATAAAATATTGTATATAAAGTGTAAACAGAAATCGTTATAGTCCGATCGACATTGACTTTGAAAATAAAATTTTCAAAATCTTTTATTTAAGGCAATGAATCTACATCTAAAATTACAGTTGAGGGTTGGAACCTTTGGTGTTACACAGCAAAATAAACTAACCAGTTTTTTAACCAAACTTTCAGTTTATAATCATCTGTTGATGATGCTAACATAATAAACAAACCAAACCAAACGCGCATCCAGTGTAAAAGTAAAAGTGTTTTGGTGTATTGTGGTGATTTAGTGTTTTTATTTTACATCTAAATATATACGATTTAAGATTACATTGTACTATTAAATATAGAAACGTTAAAAAAGGAGCAGCAAGTAAAGAACCAATAAAGAAATAACCTAATATAGAACAGTATTTCCGAGATGTAATAGTAATTTCATAAGCACAGAAATTATTATTTTTGTATTATTTATCTAATTCTTCATCTGAGTTACTGTCTTCCAGAGCTAAATCATAAACAATTATTTCTTCGACTTGATTTTCTTGAACTCCACTTGGTAATGCGAGTATTTCGTCATAGGTCGCAATTCGTTTTCGTCTAACTGCTATCCGAAGTCAGTAGAAGATTTTTGAACCGTTTTATTAGGCGTACATTCTTATATTCATAAGCTTGTAAGTGAATCCGACGCAGTGCTGCCTGGATGAGTTCTTGTCTGGTAGCAACCGGGCAGCATGATTTGACTTTGCACTAGACTTGTGAATGGTGTTAGAATTCTGGCATTTGATTGGTGGAAATTTTACGATTGACACTGTTGACCGTGGAAGAAAGATGTTCAAATTTCAAAGTTAACCTAACTGTTTTTGTTGTGGTTTTTGTTTTGGTTGGTGCTTTGGTGTTAAAAAATAGAAGTTGATCTGAGATCTAGTCTGGTCTGTTAAAAAAAGTCTGATATAAAAGCAAAACTTATACCCGATTTTTTTTATTTAAACACGCCATGGAATATTTGCAGGTAATTATCTAGCTGCTTGCAGCTTGTAATTTCCGTAATATATTGTTATTACTTTACTTATACTTATCAATTGTTACCGCTTTTTTGACGGAGGTAAACCCTTTTATAATTATACTTTGTACATTTTAGGATATTCTTCCGACTTCAACTTCCTATGAATACAAGATAATAGATTTTTCAAAAATCAGTGAACAAACATTTCACACAACCATCAGGGCCAATATATTTTCAAAGGAAGCTGCTGAAGCATGGCTCGAAGATTTTGAAAGCCAAAACAAAGTAAATTTTCGAGTTTTAAGAACTTATGGTGGTGATGGTCAATTAAAGCTTATATTTGAGGTGGTGGTTATTTTTTAAACTAGTGACTAGAATTATTCTGTGTGCAGTAAACTAAACAGGATTGAAGACAACATTATTTTTGTTAAGTTGTTTTTTATTTTAGAAAGATTATCGATGTCATCATAACACCAGAGCTAGTTTGCCTTCATCTAAAACTAAGACACCTTCATCCAAACATGTTAATTGTCAAGCTTCTTTAAAAATCACTGTAAAACAATATAAGATGAAAAGGTAATAATTTCATTCAGTCATAAGTCATAAGTACATTTTTATCAAGGTACTTTCATTTTAGAAGTCAAGATGATTTATTAAAGACACATCCATGTGAAATAGTAATAAAACATAATCACAATCACTTACTAGAGTGTGCAGATGCTTTAAGACACCGGAGACCAACTAAGGAAACGGAGGAAAAAATACTTAACTTGTTTTCAAAGGGACATTCCCCATCTTCGGCTTTGGATTTATTAAAATATGATTTACAAGAAGAATACGGTGATAATTATTATAGAATTGCAGCAGATGGTGCACTGTGTCCTAATTTGCAGTGGGTGTTTAACAAATATTATACTACATTCAACAAAGAATATGGTGCGTCAGATGGAATAGAAATGATAAAATCCCTACAACATTTTATTGAAGTATATAATCTCAAATGTAAGGATGAGTGTGCCAAATTGTTTTATAATGAAACAGATAATGAAGTTATCATAGCTATTTGCACCCCATTAATGAAACGGGTGCATGAAAATTTAAAATCTTCTTCAGAAATGATGTTTGTAGATGCATCGGGGTCCATGGACAGACACTGCAGTAGGATTTTCACCTTTCTTTCACCTAGTTTGGCAGGAGCTTTGCCCCTAGGCCTTTTAATTCTATTTTCAGAATCTGAAAAGGCAATTACACAAGGACTAACCGTATTAAGGACAATCTTACCCAAAAATGGATTTTTTGGACAAATGTATCCGCTAATTATTATGACAGATGACTCTAAAAGTGAAAGAAATAGTTTACACTCGGCGTTTCCAGAATCGAAACTTTTACTTTGTAAGTTCCATGTGTTACAAGCATTTTGGCGATTTTTGTTGAATGCAAAAAACCAAGTTAAAAGATGTGATGCACCTGTAATTTTTAATTTATTTAAAAGACTATTTAATTGTACAACAGTCAATGATGTAAATGTTATGTATGATAATATTATTAAAAATGATCTTGTTAAACAGTACTCAAATCTTATAACATACATAAAAAGTATATACTCTCGGGCTGATGAATGGGTGCCAGCTTTTGTGTTAGATTATAAGACCCGAGGTCATTTTACTAATAATTTAAGTGAATCAAATTTTCGAACTATAAAAGACAAAATTATGAACAGAATAAAAGCTTATAGTGTTGTACAGCTCTTCGATTTCATGACAACCAGATACGAAAGCTTCTTTGAAAGAAAACTTGCAGACTTTCTTAACAACAAAAGTGTTAATTATACTAAATCAAGATATAATATTCCTATTACAAAGACTAACGGTCTTTTGATAACCAAGCTTTCTGAAGATATTTTTCTCGTAAAAAATACCGCTAAGCAAACAGAATATCAAGTAAACATGTTTATAGAAGATTGTAGTTGTCCAGTTGGTATTCAGGGAGCACCCTGTAAGCACCAATTGGCTGTTGCTGTAAAATTTAATTTGAATCATAATTACTTACTTTTAAAAGAGAATCGGTCTATAAAAATTCTAATGCATAAGATTTTAACAGGGTCAAGTGAAAATTTGCCAGAGGGATGGTATAATAATGTGGACAATATGACAGTTAAACCAAGTAACGTAAAAATAACCAATTCATTTTTGCCAAATAATGAAATATTAAATGATCAACCAGACGACAATCATAACACAGAACCTCAAATAGAACCTGATGATGAAGAGAAGATAATAAATATAACACATAACCTTCAACAAATTTTTGATAAGTTACTTCAAGATATAAAAGAAGATTCTCAAGTTTTAGAAGCATCAGAAAAATTCATAGAAAACTTTAATAAGATTAAAACAAAATCAGCACTTGTGTCTAGTTTACACACATTTGGAAAACACCAATTTTATAGCTCAAAAAAAATGAATACCATTAAGGTGCAACCAACATCATTGGCTAGAAGAAAAGTTTATTTGGGAGGAAGAAGGCAACAACATACAGGTAGACCCGCAAAACGACATTTTACACCAGAACATGGTTATTCAAATGCCAGTGCGAAAGATGCTGGTCAGCCTCAGTGGCTTGTGCCTTTAAAAAGAAGAAAAACTACTGCAGCACCACATTCCCTATCACATTGTGTGGAGCAAAATATATCTTTAGGAAAAAGTCATTAGGGATAATAGATTTTAATAATTTGTGTATACTAGTTATGTATAAGTATCATGTACAAGTTGGTCCACATAAGATGCTTCTATATCTTATAATGAGATAAGCATAAAATACCTACAATCGCATTTCGAATGATTTGTTTTGATAACTATTCATATCTATTTGATATATTAAATATTTAAAATTGGCGCTTAATTATTGGACCAATAAGAAGTCAATAGATTCCGTCATAACACAAGTCTAGTGCAAAGTCAAATCATGCCTCCGGCTTATATACTCTATTGACTGCTTCTCGAAATTTCCCCAATTCTCGGAAAGCGTACTTCTTCATACCAGACAATTCTATTGTCTGATTCTCTTACTTCTCGACTTGACTAAAAGATGGCGCCTGAAAAAGTCTTTTAATTTCTGGCGGATACGTTGCGGTTGTGCAGGCAACCAGTAATACATTTTTAATTTCTGGCGGATAGGCCATTTTTCTTGACAATATCTATCGATAGTGGCATCTTTCATAATAATAGAAATACATCAAGAACTTCAGGATTGTGGTTTCAGTTTTCAGTTTATTAGAGTAAAGTTAATTGATACAAACTAATAATAACAAATGTAACTAATTCCTCAGCTACTTGTTAATGATTAATAATTAATATTCTTGTTTAGTCATGGCAACTATGATGTTTTAGCATAAATGCATTAAAAAGAAGAGTAAAAATTGAAAAATCCAGAATAAGTCCCAAATTAAAAATAGGTATATATGAATTTTGTAAAATCTATCAGAAAAAATGATAATATACCTATTATAGGCTATATCATTTAAAAAAATTGATATTTTTTAATTTTAAGTAGTCGAAATTCGTAAATATATTTAGAACACCCTTTAGGGCATCTAACTCAAATATCTTTACACATATATTTTTCTTCATCTCTATAAAATTGTCCTTCCAGATTTCAGAAATCATTATATAGATACCATTGTATCCCAGCCCAACTTCAGAAATAATGGTATCACTGACAATTTTTTACCACACTGAAATCTAACATTTGTTTTAAACAAATTGAAGTAATACAAGAACTATTAATTTTATGTATATACATATAACAAGAAGAAATAATTTATTGGGCAAGTCACAACCAAACATGACTACCCGTAGACACTAAGTGTTTCTGCCTTCCGGCTTCATCAATACGGAAGGAATCAGCAACGATAAACTAGCGATCCTGAAAAAAAGAAGGGAAGCAAACGAGGCACAAGGCGCCATTTGCAGCCTGGTTAGGCAGTAGCTTACAATTTGAAGCGTTACTACCGAAAAACCGCTGCGGAGGCGTTCCAACACACCTCGCCGCTATCACCTTGGCCCAGAGAAAACAATAAACCAAAGATGTTATCGTGGAGACTATATAATAAAAAGAAGAAAGAATTTATTGGGCAAATCTACAGTAAGATTAGTCATGAGACATGACTAAAACATGACTACCCGTAGACAATCAGTGTTTCTGCCTTCCGGCTTCGTCAATACGGGAGGAATCAGCAACGATGAACTAACGATCCTGAAAAAAAAAAGGGAAACGAACGAGGCACAAGGCGCCATTTTCATGTTTTAGTCATGTTTCATGACTAATCTTACTGTAGACTTGCCCAATAAATTCTTTCTTTTTTTTTATTATAGTCTCCACGATAATATCTTTTGTTTATACATATAACATTATATGTATATAACAAAGTCATAAGATTTTCAGCAGAATCTTAAAATAAAATAAAAAATAGCATTTAAAGACACATTTTATATCCGCCACACATTTTTGCAGCACCCTATAACTTTTCAAAAAAGGAAACAAAGGAGATAGACTTTACTCTATCGTTGATTCACCCTGTACATACGCATTTTTTTATTTAATATGATATAATATGTATATTTCTACTGTTGAAAATAAAATGATTGAAATATTCCTTCTCTTTTCACAGATAATCCAAATCCGAAAAACTTTCATCGGTCATAAAATCTTCTATACTCAATGATATTGCCGGAGATACAAAAGTAGGCAATTCAAGAGATGGTACTACGTCTTCTACTACGTCAGTAGGTACAACGACATGTTGGTTTTTAACAAACTAGAAGAAATGTTTACAAAATAAGATATTAAAAACTTACATTATATTCGTACATTAATAGCACACATAATATTTTCATAGATACAGCGTGATCCAGGCTTCCGAAAAAGCTCTATATTATGGTACGTATACACATGTGCCGCGAAAGCGTGGCACGCGCTCACCGTTTCGCCTCTATTGGTACGTGTTTTCAAGTTGCGCGCGGAACGCGGCAACAAAACAAACAGCTAGCGGCAAACCATCTCCAATCGGTTTTTCGACGCTCCGCTTTGTTTGTTCGTTGTTCAATTGGGACGGCCGGTGAAGACACCGCGCGCATTTATCAGTGACTATGTGTATTTTCTTTGAATAAATTCCCTTTTTTGTGTTTTTCTTTGAATATTGCTTATTAATGAAGTGTTTAAAGAGTCGCACTACTCATAATTAAAATTGCGTAGTTCTTCTCGGACGATAGAGACATGATTAACGACTAAACTAATGTTCGAGGGATTTCTATGGATTGCGGGATGTTCGTTAAAACAATAAAAGTAACGCGCGGCCAACGCTCGGCGCGCGCTGCACGTTCGCGGCGCAGCGCACCAATGTATACGTACCATTAGTTTTTTGGTTTGTGTATAATGGTACGTATACATTGGTGCGCTGCGCCGCGAAGGCGCAGCGCGCGCGCCGAGCGTTGTCCGCGCGTTAGCCCACGGCCACACAGAAATCGTTTTTTGCGTTTTTAGCGTGAAGCGTCTTTAGCGACTAAAACAAAATAACAGGATTATATAGGAGTGGCCACACCAAAAGCGTGTAGCGTTCGGCGTGTCTCGCAAAAAACGCAAATGAAAACAAATCAGTTTGTTTTCTGTAGCGTCTTTAGCGTTTTCTAAGATGAGACCCCGTCATAGGCGACGTTATATTTAATAATATAATAAAAATAAATTAAATAGTATGCATTTTTTTCATTTTAGGGTATTATCTAAAAATATTTTTATAAAGAACATCTACTGTTTAGGAAGATTCTATTAAATTCAAAAATTTGAAGGAAATGTTTGAAAACGTGTAGTTTGAAATGTTGAAAAACTAATAAATAAAGGAATATTTTCTTACGCGTAAAAAATAGTTTTTTACGTGTAACAAATAGTTTTTTACACGTAAAAAATATTTTCTTTTGCGTAACAAAAGCTTTTTTACCAGAAACAATAAGTTTATGACGCGTTAGAATTAGTTTTTTACGTGTAACAAATAGTTTTTTATACGTAAAAAATGTTTTTTTTTTGAAAACGTGTAGTTTGAAATGTTGAAAAACTAATAAATAAAGGAATATTTTCTTACGCGTAAAAAATAGTTTTTTACGTGTAACAAATAGTTTTTTACACGTAAAAAATATTTTCTTTTGCGTAACAAAAGCTTTTTTACCAGAAACAATAAGTTTTTGACGCGTTAGAATCAGTTTTTTACGTGTAACAAATAGTTTTTTATACGTAAAAAATATTTTTTTTTGCGTAAGAAAGGTTTTCTACCAGAAACAATAAGTTTCTGACGAGTAAAAAAAGAGTTTTTTATGTGTAACAAATATATTTTTACACGTAACAAATAGTTTTATACGCGTAAAAAATAGTTTTCTACCAGTAACAAATAGTTTTATATGCGTAAAAAAATAGTTTTCTACCAGTAACAAATAGTTTTATACGCGTAAAAATAGTTTTTTACGTGTAACAAATGTTTTTTTACGCGTAATAATTTCATTCACTTTTACAAAATTTGTATTAAAATATCAATATTTTTGATGAACACGTGGACTGCTCACAAATACACGTCGCGTCACTACGTTTTTCTAAGCCGTTAACACGTTTCGTTACTACGAGCTCGTGTGTCACGGCCGTCTCACTAGCTCGTATGTCACGGCTTTGGATTTTTACTCCCAGCGCGCGTAAAGAAGTTTCACTCCAAAATGTTTCATAAATCATGTCCTAAAATTGCATTAGTAACTAGAGATATTTACTATTCTATTATATAATTATTTATTATATTATAATTATAACAAGTACTAACCACAACACTACAACATAAAAAAAACTATAAACTAAAATTCCTAAAATAAATGGCAAATAATAATTATTATTTTTACACACACCACTGGCACTAGCAGTAGATTGTTTTGTCTCCGAATATAATCCCCGGCCCGTCCACAATTCAATCCCAGCATCTTTTATCTTCGTCTCTTCAACGTTAAAGGACGGTCCACACTTGCTATATAACACTGCTATATAGCAAAGTTATATAACATGTTACATATTTTTTAGTTATATTTAGCAAATTTCGATGCTATATAACTTGCTAGATGTTATCCATTTGTAGTCGGTAAAGATCAAAAGATGTTGTGCAACATTGCTATTGTAACATGAAACAACGCGTCCACACTTGCTAAATTTCTAGTTTAGCCGCTCATATTTTCAGGGACGTGCGCGACAGAATCTTAGTGTGGTGAGCTGATATTGGTTTGTTTATTTACTGGTCAATAATACCGTATGATCGAAAAAAAAACTGCGTCCCGTCGGCCTCCCGGCCAGTTGGCTTGGACATGACGATCGATGACATTCCCCATATAATTTTCCATATAAAATGACAGCGATTTTCATTTCATAGTATGTATTTGGAAACAGAAAAAGTTGAGAAATAATGCGTAATCTAATAGGCCAGTTCCAGCGGGAACAAAAGAAATGCAAATCAGGAACTGCATGGTTTAGATGAAGTGGATAATTCAAAATGGTTTGCTTTTGCTTTTACAGTACGTCTGTCTGTCCGTTCTGTAGCTACGGGGTATCCGTGAGAGAGGAAACGATATTCTCTCGATGTTTTTCGTAAAAAATAGACGACGCGTCCCATCAATAAAAATTCGACAAATTTGCAAGTAGCCAATAAAATGAGTGGGCGGAGCGATTTGCGGTGACGCACTCGTCAAATCGACGTATAGAATATATTGCTGTTTATTTAAATGTTTTTTGTCCGCATTCCTTTCATAGACACAGATCCAGGAGACGAGACGTACTGTAAATTATTAATGTTTTTAAAAGACAGACGACACCACGAGAAACAGCCGAGGCAAGTATTGAAAAGATAAGCTAATTGAGTTCAACTGTATCTAGATCTTGCTGGTAGGCTATGGCGGACTGAAACCGCTTTTTTCTCGACTTTCTTTCCCTTAGTTCAAAAATAATTACGCACGCCGCTGCTGCGAGCTGAACCTCTTTCTCGCCAAAACGATTCATGACTACGAAAACTATAATGTGGACGGCTCCCGGTTTTTTAACATGTTACATGTAGCTTTTTAAATAGCAATGTTATATAACATGTTACTAAATGTGGACCCTCTTTAACGGTGCCGATATCGCCTATCTCTTTCTCACAGGATTGATTGTTGGACGGGCCGGGAATCCACGAACTTGCGACGTTACTAATTGACATTATTGATAGAAACTGCAGACCTGCCGCGTCTTTTGCGTGTTTTTAATGGACACAAATCGAAAAAAGCGCTTAAAACTGTAAAATCGCAAAAAGCGCTTGAGACGCAAAAAACGCAAAACGCTAAAAACGTTTTCTGTGTGGCCGTGGACTTACTTTTATTGTTTTAACGAACATCCCGCGATCCATAGAAATCCCGCGAACATTCGTCTAGTCGTTAATCATGTCTCTATCGTCCGAGAAGAACTACGCAATTTTAATCATGAGTAGTGCGACTCTTTAAACACTCCATTAATAAACAATATTCAAAGAAAAACACAAAAAAGGGAATTTATTCAAAGAAAACACACATAGTCACTGATAAATGCGCGCGGTGTCTTCACCGGCGGTCCCAACTGAATAACGAACCAACAAAGCGGAGCGTCGAAAAACCGACTGGAGATGGTACGCGGCTAGCTGTTCGCGCGCGGAGCGCGCGCTACTTGGAAACACGTACCAATAGACGCGAATCGGTTTGCGGGCGGAGCGCGCGCAACTTTAAAACACGTACTAATAGAGACGAACAGGGGCGCGCGTGCCGCGCGTTCGCGGCGCAGCGCGCCAGTGTGTACGTACCATAATGGCACGTATACATTGGTGCGCTGCGCCGCTAACGCGCGGCACGCGCGCACCGATACGCCTCTATTGGTACGTGTTTTCAAGTTGCGCGCGCTCCGCGCGCAAACAGCTAGCGGCGAACCATCTCTGGTCGGTTTTTCGACGCTCCGCTTAGTGACTAAGTGTATTATATCGCGGGATGTTCGTTAAAACAATAAAAGTAACGCGCGGACAGCGCTCGGCGCGCGCGCTGCGCCTCTGCACCAATGTATACGTACCAGTAGAAACACCGCTCTAACACCACTCTAAGAATCAATTTTAGATGATATTTCAGGAAGCGTTAGGATTCTCTTCTTCTAATAATAATAATACATCTTCCTCTAGGGTCAACGGCCTAGCTAAGTTGAATCACCGGTTCCCATTAGAACACCGAAGTTAAGCGACTTAAGGCGATACTGGTGGATGGACGGGTAACCGGTTAGAAACTCTGTATCGTGCTGTTGTTCAAGGGAAAAGTGTAAAATCTATTGTTACACACTGCTCATTCACGCCGGTTCGAGGCCGAATGAGATCGGATATCTTGTGAGTAAGAGTTGATTTAGACTCTTCCTAAGTCGGTAGGCCATTGACCATGATATGGCCGAGGACCGCGGTTTGGATTCCGCGTAAACAAAGTAGGCCCCGTCCAGATTAGCCCTGGCAGCAAAAAGGAGACGTTAACTGAAATCTTTACTTTACTTTTTTCTTCCCCTAGGAGATGCAAGACCTTGTCGTTGGTGGGGAAGAATTGCACCAAGACATATAACGATGCCGGACGGGGCTACCTCTGTCCGTCATACCAGTCCGACTGACAGTGGTCATGTCTCGCGGGTAGAGGGTGTGGGGGGGGGGGGGTCTTGGCTTAACCGCCTGGACCAAGAGGAGACAACCTCACCAAAAACCTAAATCCTACGATGGCGGGACCAGGTCAAAGGGATGCGTGGCTATATAGAGGACTAACCATTACTGGCCTCAACCTTGGGGCATCAGGGGGCACCCCATTGTATTTACCCCTTACTTCTACATGCGGGGCTTTGTAGAAGTGGACCGACTATCCCTAACAACTCGTGGGAACACTATGAGATCTAGTACTTAAAACACCACTGGTGAAGCTGTGGGGAAGCCCCCTAGCGACACTGGGAACATGACAAATGAAAGTTCCAAAGGACCAAATCCAAAGGAAACTACAAGAGGGGCGGCTGACACTTGCTTGGGATCATCCTCCACAAGTGGCACACAAGCTACCACCTTCTCCAGCAAGGGTCGGGAGCCTACCTCTAGACCCAATAAGCGACACAAGCTACCGTTTCTTCTACCTGGCCCGGGTCAACCAGGCGGGCTAGACGATCCTCTGAGAATAGGTCTTAGCGGAGCAGAAGCACGGAGATACCCCCGACTGCTCCACGAAGGACTTGCTCCAGAGGAAGCAAAAGCGAAAACAATCCTCCGAAAAGGGGAGAGAAAAGAAACCAAGAAACAACCTGACCCATCTCCATCAAAGGGCAAGAGGGGGAGCGAGAACCTCTAACCTCTTCTCCAGTGAGAGAAAAAAGCCAGGATGGAAAGCCGTCCAACACCGGGAGGCAAAGCATGGACGTATCACCAGCTTTGCCGCTATTGCTAGACAAGTGAAAATGGCGATGCTGCCAAAGGATTTCTCAGAGGTTGATCTGACCTTTGACCACCGACCAGCAAACGTCTCTAGAAGAGGCTGTACTGGACGGAGTAGTGGAGATTGGATCGCAACACAACGATCTACAAAATGTGGGTCAGCTGCGTTTTGCGGGGATACACTTTCGGGTGGGCATGATCCTCATAGATTGTGTATCTTAAGAATCGGCGAATTGGCTGGTGGAAATCGCACCTAAGCTTAAAAATTGGCAAGGGCCGGAACTGGTTGCAGTGAAGGGAGAAAACATCCCTAAAGGGGCGGTCATCACGGTCTTTCTGCCGAGGAGCAAGAGGAAAGACACCACCTACCTGCTGAGCCTTATCGAGGGTCAGAATTTCAATGTCAGGACATCGAGTTGGCGAGTCATCAACTCGAGGGAGGAGGGTCATGGTCCGGTCCTCACAATAAGAATTGACCTCAAATCCAAGGAGGCAATAGATAAAGAGGGACATATCCTATATTATAGATATGGGACAAAACCAGTATCAGGTCTAATGAGAGACCAAGTTAAAGAGGTGGAGAAAATGGAGACAGATCCTCCAGCCTTCGCCTCACGGGTTCCTCAGCCGGAGGCAAGCTCTTCGACTGAGAAGGGCGGCACGGAGGGCCAAACACCAACCTTTGACGGGTGTGTACCCTCGGAGGAAGAACTGTTGTCAGAGGAGGATGGGAAATACCCTGTCCCCTCTACAACAGAGGTATGATGGGTTATAGACCGTGTGATGACTCAAGGAAGGGGGGCACAATAGATCTTTAAGGTCGCAGTGATTAACCCCCCTCTTACTCATTCTACATTCTACATGATAATATGTCTAACATTTTTTTGTATGATCCACATTGCCCGTATTAAACCTTCATTTAATTTCTTGAATACGGATACTTGAGAATACTTGGTAAATCCAGAAATATTTTACGACAAATTTTTCTTGCTAATAATAAAAAAATCAGCTGCTCCATTACAATAAACCTTATTTATTAATTTGTCACGTGAAAAATTGATTATTGAGTTAATTAAAAGATTGTTCTACTTTTCTGTAGATAGGTAAGACACTTTTAATAATAAACACACTCTATTGAAAGAGCGGAAGTCAAATCCTGTCTTATATATTGCCACCACGTTACTTAAACAAATTACAATGGAAATCACAAACTAAAATTTCAATATAGAGCTATTTTGGAAGACTGGGTCACCCTGTATACAGGCTGTTTTTTTCCTGAAGTTGTACGGAGCGACTAACAATGATTAAAAAGCAGTAAACAGTAAAAAAATACTTAAATAATGTTATATTGATTAAAATCTTTAAAAAAATGACTTGACTTGAAAGAAAATAACTTAAGTCAAAGACTTACGATTTAAGTCATTTGAAGTTTATATTGAAATTGACTTAAGACTTAAGTCTTTTTAAAACTGACTTGTTGCAGCTCTGGCTAAAACGAATTATCGACCGTAAAATTTTACCAAATTATCTATGGCAAATTATGTCAATTCAATAACGTCATTTTTGGGGATTTTTTTATCTTCTTGAAAATTTACTAAATAAAAGTTTTGACTTTGTGATATGTGACATCGACATATTTTTCAATATAAAAAAACTATTTTTCAATAGAACTACAGTATTTAACATAGGAAACGAATACTAACATTATACCCACTTAGTTTCATCCCTGCGTTCAAAAGAATGTTAAAAATTAAAGTAATCAGCGAAATTAAGCCGCACTCAAAACCTCAAAATTAGTCGAATAAATTCATTGTTTCAATAGTGTAGAAAAGTTTGTTCCTCTAATTTCAAACTTATAACTTTTTCCACTAATTATAGTAGTGTAAAATCTCAACATCGGAGACAATGACAGTCCAAGGAGATATTTTCTTTTATACTGTTGTAAGGTTGTGTATTTTTTTTAAATTTATTTTACTTACACTGACAAACACGTCGAAAAAATTAGTCGGATGAAACTGGCCATTCTCCTCATTATATTGCAAACTATCAACAATTCTTTGCTGTGTATCGTAATAAGCGGACAATCTAAACACTCTTTCAGAACATTTTGCTATATATCTCATTTGCTTGAGAGCTTCGCATGCTTCTGGGTATCGACTTTTCTTCAGAGTGTCATAAAATGATTCTTCAAATTTTTTATCCTATTAATAATTATTCATCGAGTTAAAAAATTAAACCGTAATAAAATACCGTATGATCGAGAAAAAACGGTGTCAGCGATGGCTATGGAATGAAGATCGCTGTCATTTTATATGGAAATTTATATGGGAAATGTCATCGATGTTCATTTCCCAGCCAACTGGACGCCGTTTTTTTTTCGATCATACGGTATAATAAATGTATAAACTTTTAGATTATACATTTATTATTATAATTAACTAGAAAAACTTTAAATTAGTTATGTCGATATTAACCGGATATCGAACCTTAACCGTAACATATACAGGGTGGTCCGAACTGTATTCCTGAAACTTCGGCGGCATATTCTGCAGATAAAAATAAGTAAAAATGGTCGTATAAATGTATGTCCTAAGATGCTTAATTTCGGAGATACAGGGTGTAGAAGTTTCATTTTTATTTCTATTTTTTCCAAATAATTTCTGAAATAACGTCAATATTTGGATGAAAATTGGTGCCTGGGAGTTCTTTGACATGAGAAATTTCATTTTGATGTTTTGGTAATTTGACATGTATGATAACTGTCTTTAAGAGTAATACCTTTTCGTCCTGTATAAAACTACTGAGTGAAAAAATATACATCTCATAATGTCTTTTATATAGTAAAAATCGCTACGAGCAGCCGTTCTCAAGATATTGTTACGTTTTTCGTCGGTTTCTGTGTTTTCGAATTTCTAGACTCTTCTAGATCATATTAAAGCGGGACTGGTTTCGCAACAATATTTAGAATAGAAATAGTCAATACATGTCATTATTGAAAAAAAATAAACACGTTGAGTAGATAATTTTTGACTGAAAAAATAAATTTAAGAAATTTTAATTTTTTTAAATTAATCATAGGTTTTTCTGCGAAAAAACGATGATAAAACATGGATAAAACAGTTTCTGTTGAACTTTTGACACAAAAATATTTCAAATTTATAATTTTAGTCTAGAAACTATTTAGTCAACATCATGTTTAATTTTATGTCAATGATGACAAGTATTAATAATTTCGATTCCAAATATCTCGAGAACAATTACAAACGATTTTTACCAAGAAACCTTTTCTACGTAAAAAACGTCGTAAATGTATATTCTTTTACTCAGTAGTTTTATACAGGTACGGACGAAAAGTTATTACTCTTCAAACAAGTTCAAAGTATGTAGGTGGCGCCCTCTACAATTAGGAGTCATGTTGACATCAAAATCAAATTTTTCATGCCAAAAAAACCCCAGATATCCATTTTCATCCAAATATTGACGTTATTTCAGAAATTATTTGGAAAAAATCGAAATAAAAATGAAACTTCTACACCCTGTATCTCCGAAACTAAGCATTTTAGGACATACATGTATACGAACTTTTTTACTTATTTTTATCTGCGGAACATGCTGCCGAAGTTTCCGGAATACAGTTCGGGCCATAGCATATATAACAGACAATATTTATATGTCAAAAAACTCAAATTCTCATCCAAATATTGACGTTATTTCAGAAATTATTTGATAAAAATAGAAATAAAAATGAAACTTCTACACCCTGTATCTCCGAAACGAAGCATTTTAGTACATACATTTATACGAACTTTTTACTTATTTTAATGTGCAGAATAGGATGCAGAATACAGTTCGGACCACCCTGTATATTACATATTATATTATTCACTTACCAGTGAAAAATTAATTCATTATTTCCTTCAATTTTGCCCGAGAGTGGTCAAGTTTTGTTTGACACATTTTGGATCAAATTGAAATGTGTCAAATGAAACGTCAAGTGAAATTGTCGAGGATCCCTACCCTAGGGCCCCACGTCCGTCCACCATGCATGAACACATGGATAGCATTATAGCGCTGATTGAAAAAATAAGAAGATGCGCAACCTTATGGGCGATCAACACTTACTTTTCCTTCCTTTTTTTATATTGCTAATATGCTAAATTTTTTATCATTTTTCGTAATTTTCGGTGTAATTAAATTTAGTAAATATTCAAAGTCGGGTCCGGCCATTCTCGTAAAGTTTTGGAATTGATCATTAGCCCTCCTCCAGACTCTAAGTTGTTAAATAAATTATATCGATTTCTCAAATTCGGTTTGCCAACAGCAACAATGATGTTTTCGATTTTTCTTCTTTTTATAATTAAATTAAACTGTGCATAACGATGAATGCATCCGCGGCTATCTCTTGGTCGGCCATTGTTTTCACCAGCTCAACTCTGCTGTGCGCGCACAAGTGGATCACTTCATTCGTCGAAAAATAAATTTTTAAATTACTGCGCCGTGCGCGTACGCTCAGCTCGTGCGTGCTGAAGTCTAAACGCACCTTTAGGTCGCGTGTCTTTCCAATTCTTTCAATCGACGATTATACTCCTTCCTTAATATTTTTATGCAAAGTAATCGACTTATAATATAGTTTATTTCAAATTAATATTGAAAGTACTGAAAAATTGTTTACCTTCTTATGAAAATCATCCAAAATTTGACGTTGCATTTTTTGTAATATGCCTCCCCATTGATTAGTAACATCTAACATCGATTCAATAATAGCTTGATCAGATGGAATAACTTCTATCTCATATTTTTCGAATTCTTTAGCCAATTCATGCCATTCTTCTGACAATTTTAAGGCCAAAAAGTTTTCGGCTACCAATAAAGTTACCTGTTTTTTTAAAGAAATATTAGCTTAGTTCGGGTTTTTTTATTTACGATTCTGGACCGTCCTGGAACTGTGATACGCATGCGCAGCAGTATTTGCAATATCCGGCAATATTCAGCAATTGCAATAACCGGCAATTTTTTTTCATCTTCGCATGCGCAGTAAAGTTCTAGGTTCTAGGACGGTTCAGAATCGGTAATAACAAAAACACGAACGAAGCTATTAATAACCATGTTTAGTAAGGTTAGATTTTAATTCAAACACAATACCTACAGTTCATACCAAATAAACTTTTAGTCACGTGATTAAGCTTAACCGGCACAGCGTTGCCCACTTTTATATATTTTCTTTTAATCACACTATTTTAGGGGAAACAAAAATAAATTAATTATAAATAATAAACAGTTATTATTTACATCAACAAAACTCACCTTAACAGCACTTACGGGACATAAAGGGCCATTATTATCGCTTTCCAGTTTAAAATATTCTAATACAGTTGCGATGAGTTTTTACGGTTATTAAGCTATCTTCTACACTTCGCACTAAAAGCGGTTCTAAAAAGAACAATGTTTGACTGCAAGGTCTGCTAGTAAACATTTTGAAGCTTAAAGTATCACAACACCATTTATTTAAACCAAAAACTCGTAATACAAAACTAAATTGTCAAAGCAAATGACAATAATGTCAGAAAATAAATAAATAAATGCGGCAACTTGATATTTTTTACAGCAGAGGTACTACCTGAATCCCCAGCGCAAAATTTAAATTCCAGTTAGGCAGCACGGCGCCGAATATGTCCATGGTTGGCAACAATGAATTTAAAAATTGCGCCCTCGGTTATGTAACTAAAAGTTTAATTGATATCAAATATACATAATGTATGCGCTAACATGTAATGAGTTTTTTTAATTTTTCACTTTATTCGATAAATATATTAATACATTGTCATACATACAGCCGTTACTCGCTGACGAGTATTCGACACACATAAAGAAGATGGTCACGCAAGGCGTTTTCTTTCATGAGCTTTTCTGTGACTGAAAAGCCCGATACGTGATGTTATCTGCCTACCGCACTCCGGACATTCAAAAATCTCATTGCTTTGTTACCTCTTTACTTTTTGGTTGCCGCTGTTAACTGAGTTTACAACTCTTCTCCATTGAGTTCTATTGTGAGCTGCTTTTTCCCACTCATTCTGCATGTTAATTCCCTTTAAGTTTTCGTGGAAAATGTCCTTGTACCTTTTCAGTTGTCCACCCGGCCTCTTCTTACCGTCTACAAGCTCACCGTAAAGCAGAGATTTTGGTATGCGATTTTCTTGCATTCTGTATACGTGACCAGCCCATCTTAAGCGGGATTTTGTGACCATGACTTCAATACTGTCGCAGTTAGCTTGTTCAAGGACCGATACGTTTGAGACATGATGGAACTACCGGACTCTTAAGAGTTGTCTAAGGTGTCTCTGTTGCAACTTGTTTAATGCGTTCATGTGTCGGCGGTACGGCACCCAGGTTTCGCTCCCATATAACATGGTGGGGATTATAATTGCTGGTACACTGCAAGTTTTGTTTTTGTACTCAAGTCATGATTGTAGAAAACCCTGTCTTTTAATTTCCAGAATGCTCTTGAGGCGTTACTAATCCTGTGCTGAATTTCAGAGTCAATATTGGCCTTTTCCGAAATCAAACTGCCAAGGTAATTGAATTCCGCCACATATTCCAATAGTTCTTCTCCGATTTTTATAGCATTGTTGTGATCTTCCGGGGGAGTGTACATGATTTTAGTTTTGTCGATGTTTAGCTTAAGGCCCAAAGCCTCGTATGCCCAGGTATATGTGTTCAACATTTCTTGTAATTGTTGTACCGTGTTTGCAACTAGAGCGCAGTCGGCAGCGTATTGAAGTTCTGTGATAAATTTTGTACGTGTTTTTGCACTGATTCTTTTTATGTTGAACAGATCGCCGTCATATCGGTATCTAATGCCAATCCTCTCTCCTGCAGTTTGCTGCCCACTATAATGGAGAGCGCTGCCATGAATATGTTGAATAAGAGAGGCGCTAAGAGACATCCCTGCCTAACTCCTGTATTTGTTAGGAATGGGTCGCTCAGTGATCCATGATGTGACACTCTTGACTTGTTGTTGTTATGGAGGCTTTTACAGACTGTAAGAAATTTGTTGGGGACTCCGAACTTTTTCATAATTGTCCAAAGCGCATCTCTGTTCACAGAGTCGAAGGCTTCGATTAATACATTGATTGGTTCTAGTGTTATCTATAATTTTAGAATTGTTGTTTTTAGGGAAATTTGATTAGTAAATAATTTGAACTATTATTATAATAAGACTAATTGACATCTAGTAAACTAAATAGATTTTGTTGTGGTGCCTACAATGACTATAATCTATCTAACGAGAAAAGATATGCCAGTGACTGTTATTTACAAATAACAGTTTACAATAGTTGCTGAAATCTTACACAGAGTCTGGGGTTTGGTCTAAGCAGAAAAAATATGTCAGTGAGTAGAGAGGGGTTGTTATTTAACGATTTATGGGAGTTGTTGCCATAAAATGTTGTTGCTTCCCAAAAATAACAGTTACGAAAGTTTCAGTGTGCTAACAGCGAATGCTCGTTATGTGAAGTAATTCAATTAGTATTCATCATCATTAAAATTCTCAGATTATTCCACCATTTCCAATTATTTCCATTCCACCATTTCCAATCTCCCTCACATATTTAGGTACTTTCTTTGTGGTTGGGCTCATTGTTGTATATTGTTGGCTATGTGGGCCCCAGTTATCCCTGCTAATTTAATTTCCTAATATCATGGTCCCATCTCAGGTTTGGTCTTCCTTTAAATCTTTTAGTTCCTCGTGGGTACCATGTTATTATTTTTGTGGTCCATCTGTTGTCCGTCCTTCTTGCCAAGTGTCTTGCCCATTGCCACTTCAGGGATTTGATTCTGTGGATGACATCTATTACCTGGGTCTTTTGTCGTCACTCTGTTCTTTTATATGGTCTTTCTTGTTTATTCCTAGCATATTTCTTTATTTAAGAGTACAGGTTTTGAATGCATAGGTCATGACTGGTAGTACACATTGGTCAAATATTTTCTTCTTTGGATCGAGTGGCATTCTAGATTTGAATATGATTGAGTTTCTTCCATAAGTACTCCATGCTCAAGGTCTATATATTCTAAAGGACTGTTCGATCGCGTTAAATCGTCGCTATCTTAATCACCATGGATGCTTACGTCACGCAGGGACCAGCGTTCCACAGTGCGGCGGATGGTTATTCTAGCGGGACAAAATCTCAGGAGCGATTTTTGGGATTTAAAATCTAAGAACGTAGCAAATGGTCTAATATATAGCAATCATATGGTTAAATTTATTTATTTATTAACAACTTAATTTATTAATAAATAAATAAATACAAGATAATAAAACTATGATATTATTCGTATATGACACACAAAAACCGTACTGTAAACTATTGCCAAATACATAAAATTATGATATCAGGTGAAATACTTACAAAAAACTCTTTAGCAGTTATTTTTTATTACTTTGTATTCTTGTGACATCCTGTATATTTTACTTTAAAAAATTCTATTTTATTTTGAAAATAGTAAATAAGATATTTTAATTTTAACACTCGGTAATTGTAAACTCATATACAGTAAGATCTAAGACAATTTTTTAAAACTTTTATTAAAACTAGTAATAATCATTTAGTTTTATTATAAATTATCAGAAAGTAAAAAAGGTTTTAGCATATCGTCATGCTTTATTTAACTAGAACATCATTTGGATGTTTTTGTCTTGAGGAAAATTGCCGAACTGACTATTGATATCATTCATTAGCTGCCCATACACGGAAAGGCCCTGCCTATGGACTTGGCCTTGGGTCCGGGCCTTTAATCCAAAATACCATAGGTTTGCGTGAAAGGCAAAGTCCGCGGATATATTTCCGCTATGGTAATTTGGGTGAAAGCCTCGGCCTCAAGGCCAAGTCCAAAGGCCGGGCCTTTCCGTGTATGGGCAGCTATTAATTTTTTAAACTCAGTGCCTTTCGATGGAGTTAAGGCTTCAACAATTACATCAGCATCCTTACTCCTTACTACCACTAGCCCTAAAGCTTATAGTACTTGCAAAACCCAATTCTTCTTTTGAATGCTCTTCAATTAACCCTTTAACGAGTCTTTGTTTCGTTTTTATACTATCCGATTGAAATGAAACTTTTGGGTATTCACCTGTTAAGCTTGAACTCCTTGTGACTGACTACCTGTCTTGGTAACTATTAGTAACTCAAAAGATCTACATCATTCAATATATCAATATTTGAAAAAAGTGAAAGTTTCATATTTGCAGAATAAAGGCACAGATATTTGCAGAAAAAAGGCACCTACAGTAGAAAAGTACATAACTTTGACAATCTTCAACATAATTTGGCTTTGGAATAAAATGTATAAGCACTTTTAAATATTTTGTTTTCGTATAACCTCTGCAGAAAACGATCAAATTTGATTGATAAAAATGTATCGAAATACAAAGAATATATACGACCTAAAAATAATTCATGCATTTTTATATCAATTGGAATGTCTACTATTTATTCTTATCAGTACACATTTTTGGGTTATTTCTTACCAAACGATTTTGTCCCGCTAGATTTATCTTCCGCCGCACTGTGCGCTCGTCCGTTAAACGCAAAAATAACTGTCACTGTTTAAAATCTTTTGCGCGAACTTCAACTCGGTCCCTAGAAAACGTAAAAAAACTGACAGTACAGGAAGATAGGAATTGAACTATCCTTATCTCTATAGTATCCTTGCTCCATGTTAACTTAATTCTTCGGTTGATTTCTGGTACTAGAGATCCCGAGCTGTGTATTAGTTGTAATATATGTATTCTTCTACTATTTCCAGTTTTGTGTTATTTATTAGCATGTCTTTTCTGTCTACTAGTTCGTTGTACATTACTTTAGTTTTTGCTAAATTCATTTTCAGACCTATTTTATTGCTGGCTGTATTTAGTTCATTAAATTGTGTTTGTAGTTATTCAGGACTATTGGCAATTAGGACTATGCCATCAGCGAATCTTAGATGGTTAAAATATTCAACATCTATTTTTAATCCTTTGTTGGTCCAGTCTACTTGACGGAAGATTTCTTCTAGTGTTGCTGTAAACAGCTTTGGGGATATCGGGTCTCCCTGTCGTACTCCTTTGCCAGTTGGAAACTCTCGGTTGTTTAACCAATTAATATTATATAACATATTTTGTGTGCTCCAATTTATATTAGTTAATAGACAAAATGGATTATTTATGTAAAATATTTTACTATTTTATTTCTTAAATCTATCTATTTCTCTAATCTTAAATAATTTAAACCTGTGAGCAGAGCATACCTGATCTTCTCGTGACAGATCTTCATTAAATAATTTATAAAATTCATCCGTTGTTTCCACCACGTCTCGTTGTCTTACTTCTAATATCTGCAACAAGCAATACACTTTTGGGCGACAGCTAATTAATAAGTCAGCTATAGACGGATTTCCCACAAATTTTCTACATGGACAATTGGTTTCATAATACTGAACCTCACCCATTATTGGTATCAGTGGATCTAAGGTTGAAATTATTCATCTATATTTTTAATTTTATGAGTGAGTTTTTGTTAGAAGAGTGGAACCAACCAATAAATGCCATAGGTATCCAAAACACTATTACCTACAATTGCTCCATATTGATCAACTTTAACATGGAGTTCTGTATTTTCTTGGCGAAATGTGTCCAGTAATAAAGATTTAATTCTTTGTCCATTTCGTCTCCATGTTATCAAATAGGGAACGCATTCGGTTATTTCACATAAATCGATTAGGACACCCAATGCAACTATTTTTGTTGGTAGGCAACTCATCTAAAATGATCGTAACTTTCGAATACTTTAAAGGAAGTAATTTAATCGTTTGCATATAAAAAGAGTAATCGTTTTTTTAATACCTGAACAATATCTAATAGTAAATATATCCCGTCCATTTCAATAAATGCTTTACTCAACGATTCAGAACATGCTATTTTATTCCAAATAAGGCTTAAAGTCAGAATTATAATTCGTTGCCCTTGCACCGGATCTTGCGGATTTGGATTTATATACCTATTCATATATTTTATAATCATAGGTAAAAGCTCTCTTGCCTAAAATATATAAGTTGATTATTAGATAAAGAAGCCATTTTTAGAAATCAAACCGTTGTCTTAAATAGAATTTATTTAATGATTTATTCTCAAACAATCAATTATTATATTAAATTAGCTAATTAACTCTTTTGAAGATGTTATTTAATACCTATCTTTATTAATAGTAATAATATTATTATGCCAGTGTTCAAAATTAACTCTCTTTTAAAACGACCTCAATAATATGTTTATTTAAATCGCATTATGTATTTTTTATCATTGCTTTTATTTACGAAATGCTGTAAAGACGTTATTGGATTTGTATAAAAGATCTACCTTTTCTGGATGGTATATTTGTTCTAAGAGGCAAATCGATACTGCTATTAAAACTTGGTGGTTTTTTGAAAGATAATTTGCTTCTAAATATTCGTTGCACAATGCTGAAATAATAATATCACGTTAGAATATTGTATTTCATACAGTCCGGCATAAATGTTTATTAGTTGAGGCAGTTGAGGGTTAGAAAGAACCGTTGCATAGCAAAATAAAACACTAGAGACTAGTGTTCACCACTATAATTACCACAATACACCAAAATACTTTCGCCAAAATGCACAGGTGATTAAATCTAGTGATGGGAAAAACCGATTAATTTCAATAATCGAGTACTAGAGTATCAAGTGATTGCAATAACCGAGTGATCGCTCGAGCGAAATATCACTCGTATTTAAAAATACGGTTTTCACCCGTCGCTTGTTGTAAGTACTCGTTAAGGCCAAGCGCCAAACAGTAAGTTGCGTGCGCAGGGCACATAATATCATAATAATATTCTTTCGGTAATGAACGGCAAGTAGTAAGCGGCGAGCGATTCGCTTGATTTAGTTTATTTCGAAGCATTGTCGATGTAGGTCGTAAAATTTTATCCCTCAGATACGCAACGGATAAATATACCGGGTGCGTCTCAAAAGTGGATCACCCCTATAACTATTTTTTCAGATAAAACAACGAGATTTGGTATGTTAGTATATGACATAAATTAGGATTGATTGACATATTCAATTGTTTTCCGTCACTTTCGGTTTCACCGGAAATGACTACAACTTTTGATTTTTAAATGGTACTCGCGGTATTTTTTTACTTTATTCGGTAGAAAATGACACTCTGAATAGAATGACACATCACAAGTCAACTTTTGGCCTTTTTCGCATATGGTTTATTTGAAATTGTAACATGCGGTTCATAACGAAAATTTGACTCGAAGTACCAAGTGTTTGGTATCAAATTATTCATAAAAAAATTATTTTTCGAAATATGCTAATGAGCCACCCTCGTTCCATTTGAAAAAAATTAAGATATGATCAAAAATACGATTTGGGCATCTTTTAACCGGCCAGGACAAGACACTAAAAACATTAGACGATCAAATCTATTTTTGCAAGGCTCCTCGATTAAAAATTAGTGTTTTTAACACATCCATGGCACTCTAGATTCAAATTTATAATACAATTTGTTTTTGAGCGAATATGTCAAAAGTTGAATGAACTTGAAATGACATTCTATTTAGAATATCATTTTCTATCAAATAAAGTAAAAAAATACCGAGGGTGCCATTTAAAAATTAAAATTTGTAGTCATTTCCGGTGAAACAGGAAGTGACAGAAAACAATTGAATACGTCAATCAATCCTAATTTATGTCATATACTAACATACCAAATCTCATTTTTTTATCTAAAAATAATAAAGAAGTTATAGGGGTGAGCCACTTTTGAGCCGCACCCGGTATATACAGCTTCGTATATTGCTACCTGCAATGTATGTAGAAAATTCGCTCGGCTTTTTATAGAGTATGTCACATTAAAATCGGACTTCAATTTATTTCATTCTAGGATCGCTTGCGTTCGTCGCTTGGTACTCGTCACTGGCATCGCTCGTTCATAATCGAGCGATGTCGGTTATTTCAATAATCGAGTACTCAAGCGAATTTTCGCTCGAGTTATCCCATTACTAATTAAAACTATAATTTTAATCACCTGCAGATGATGCTAACATGGTTAGTGAAACAGTTAGCGCCCAGTGAATTAGTATTTTTATTTTCCCATAAATGTTTATAATATTAGCAATTTACGACCGGTTGCAACCGGAAAATAGGTTACTTCGGATTTATCTTTTATGATCCTATTTACCTATTATGAACTATCTAACTGTGATACGCATGCGCAGAGTGGAATATGCACCATTTTTACAATGCGCATGCGGCGTGGAGTCCTCAGAATGTTCAAAATCGGTAATAACAGAAACCCAAAGAAAGCTATTACATTGTTAGAGCTGGTAAGTGTGTTATATATTTTTAGAAATTTATATTAGGCCAATCAAATTAGAGGGTCCACAAAAAAGCGTTGGAAAGCTAATTATGGTCTTGACTTGCACAGTTGACATGAAAGATAAGTATCTTAGTTTTTGCACCTCCGCCCGACTCAGGAAGACCAACAGATAGAAAAATTGCCTGGCTCGTAGAAAAACCTTTGAACCGTAGCTATGGAAGTCCTATTTGCGGCAAGTTTTTGATAGGCACCCTTATAACATCATGCACAGAATAAAAATAGCTTTCATTTGACATATAAATGATCAAAAATTTTTATGGGCGCAATGTCGTTTCCAAAATCAGCTAGGTTTGGTTAGGCTAGTTTGGTTAATGAAAGGTCTGGTCTAACGATTAAGTCTATCGAACGAGAGGATACATGACAGTTGTGTCTGTCATTTTAACGCAAACATAATTTATATTTCCTGACATGGTTGTAATGTCGTCTGTCGAAATCTTCCCTAGCTCGTTGGACAGACTTTAGTCATTTATATATCCGACTCAGCTCGGTAAAACATTCGTATTCTGCTAACAAAGCACCTATCGGACTTACAACATAAAGTGTTGTTACCTAAAACCATTTATTTCTATTGATAAATTAATTTAGTAATATTTCCAGCTCTACCTACATAATATTATATTAAAACCTCCATTATATGCAACTGAATCGCATATGCTCTTAAATTTATAACAGAAATGGCACAGAAGTTCAACACTCCTCAGTATGATTTGATAATTAGCCGTTGAGGCAAATTGTCTTCCTTCATTTATTAGCTCCAATATTCTAAAATGTTATAAATAATGTTAATATTCTATTATTTATTTACTTCATTTATCTTCTTCTCTATCTCTAGTTATCTTTTATATCTCATCTTATATTTTACCAACTTAACAATAACATAAATTAATTTATTAAGTATATATTAGTGAGCTTGATTAAGAGGACCTACAGAATATGCAAGATTATTTTTTTTTAATCCATTACAAACTAAATTCTCTAAGAAGACTTACTCGGTGTTTACATACTTGCATTTTTTATCCCTTTTCTACATTCACTACCCTTAATAACATAAACTAAAAAAAAATAATAAACTAATATGTTTTACATTAAAGGACCACCATCTTCAACAAATTCTTCAGTAGATATAGGCACTATATTGTGTAAAATATTTATAGAAACATTGATTAAATATCGTGATTGTAATGGTTTCCATTTTATTGCTTGCTGTTTGCCTATTAATTTCAATAACCCCATTACTATTCTGCATTCCTCGATAACCTATAATAAATTTAAAAAAAATATTTTCCTACATGATGAGTTGATAATAATTAAATAATGTCTGCATGTTCAACTATTATTGCATGTGCATAGCCAATATTAATTTGTCATTTCAATTCAAAATTAGGGATTCGAAATAGATCATCTAATTTCTCGCTGAACAAAATTTATATTTTCATACATAAAGTTTATGCAACAACAACATAGTATTTTCAATATCTTAATAAAATTATTATAGTTTGTTACAACTACAACTGTCACGAATGTAACATATTCCTTCACAAGATAGAATATATAGAACGGTGAATCGCATACAATGGAATTGTGAAATTTAGCTATTTGAAATTATCAATAAATTTATACCATTGTTAGAGATATAGTTTATTAATAATTAATAGACCTAATTGATATATTAATTAGGTCTCACTGAAAACTTAAAAGATCACTTTCTATAAATACTCGTAAAGTAGGAGGTGAAGTATATCCAACGTGAAATCCAACAACAAACAAGAATGATTTCAACAGAAAATACCCTCAAAGTGGCAGAAGAGAGAAAATAAATCTACCTTTCAATTAAAATGACAGATAACTACTGTTACTGTCAAACCTTCTCTTGTTGGTCAAACTACATCTTCAAAAATATATTTCACGGCAACCTCAATAATAGAAGTCAATATGAATATAGTGCGTACAAAATTAAACAGCAAATAGAAAAAAAAATAACAAAGAAGAACATATATCTGTTATTAACATAATTATTACGTTATCAATATTTAAATAAAATTGGTCGTGTACTGATATCGTTGCAAGAATATTGAAACCAATTAATTATATTATTATTTTATTGTAATTTTATTGTATATTTACCGAAAACATAATAAAAACAATTCACTTTTGAATTATAATACAAGTCAACTGTCGCTAATGTAATATATTCTTCCGCGGAACAGACGCAGGCAAACGGTTTATCGTATACAACAGAATTGTGAAATTGAGGTATTTGAAAATATCAATAAATTTACACCAGTACATTTTGATATATAGCAGATTTAAATATTAATTTAATTATTTCTTTTTTTCTTTAACCATTAGTTTATATCTATGTATATAGTTTTTTTTCTTTCTTGGGTATGAGGTTTTATAATTAAATGATGGAAAAGATTTTTTATGCGACGTTTCGCTTCAACATAGTGGGCTCTTTCACGCATTTGTACAGACTGTTCCTAATAAGACGACTTCAAGTTTTAGAATAAAGTGCTTGAAACAGCCCACTATGCTGGAGCAAAACGTCGCATAAAAAAATGTTTTAAACCTCATACCCAAGAAAAGAAAAAAAACTATATAGGTTTAAAGATTAATAGACTCCGCTCAAGAAAACCACCACTCTCGTCAAAAACACTTGGGATTACTGACGAGAATGCAGAGCTCAACTTATATGCTGCAGGGATGAACGAATGGATGAAAAAACGCTGCTCCACAAAGTCGGGATTTCACATGTATTTTAGCAGTACCTCCTGGTTTTGAGCAGCCTATATAATGTAACTTTAAACAGGCTGAGAACCGAACATGGCAGATGCATGGATTCTCTCTACAAATGGGGAAAGGCTCCCACTCCGGTATGTGATTGTGGAGCTCTACGACAGACTGTTCGACATATTAGAGAAGAATGCGCTTTTACGGCATGGCGTATGAGGGAGATTTTGGAGATTTCCTAAAGGTAACACCAACTGCAGTTGATTATATAAAAAGACTAGATGTTTGTAACAAGTTTGTTTTGTACAATATTTTAAATTTTCTTTTTTTACATTTTGTATTATCTAACATGTAGAATTTTTGTTCTTATTTTTATTTCATATTTACGGCTGTAGTGATAACATGTGATTTTATGTGTACTAAAGCCATACGCCAAATAAATAATAAATACCTTTGGGCCTGTCAGGATATGCCTATAAAATGAAATGCACATTAACAATAATGCCATACAGCACATGTCTTCGTTACATGGAGTTAAACGGCATTCGGTTATTCGGTTTGGAGAAAAAATAACGTCCTGTGCCATAGCTAGCATGGCGATATCTAAAATAATTATGTCAAGACGTGTATTGTTTGATTTAGAAAATTAAAAATATACAGGGTGGCCCGAACTGTATTCCGGAAACTTCGGCAGCATGTTCCGCAGATAAAAATAAGTAAAAAAGTTCGTATACATGTATGTCCTAAAATGCTTAGTTTCGGAGATACAGGGTGTAGAAGTTTCATTTTTATTTCGATTTTTTCCAAATAATTTCTGAAATAACGTCAATATTTGGATGAAAATAGATATCTGGGGTTTTTTTGGCATGAAAAATTTGATTTTGATGTCAATATGACTCCTATTTGTAGGGGGCCCCACCTACATGTGTTTTAACTGTTTTGAAGAGTAATAACTTTAAAAAATATCTCTTGGTAAAACTCGCTACGAGCAACCGTTCTAAAGATATTTAGAATGGTTAGGTTAGACAAAAAATATACAGTTTAGTAGATAGTTATTTGACTGAAATAATAAATCTGGAAAATTTTTTATTTTTTTAAATTATTCACAAAAACATTTCAAATTTATGATTTCAGTTTAATAACTGTTAGTCAACATGTTTATTTTATGTCAATGATGATAGGTCTTGATAATTTCGATTCCAAATATCTCGAGAACCATTTCTTGTAGCGATTTTTACCAAGAGATCTTTTTTACGTAAAAAATGTCGTAAATTTATATTTTTCACTTAACTCACTATTTTCATTTAACTCAACAATTTTATACATGTACGGACGAAAAGTTATCACTCTTCAAACAAGTTAAAAAAATATCTTGGTGGCGCCCTCTACAAGTAAGAGTCATATTGACATCAAAATCAAATTTCTCATGTCAAAAAACTTCCAGACGCCCATATGCATCCAAATATTGACGTTAATTCATAAATTATTTAGAAAAAATCGAGATAAATATGAAACTTTTACACCCGGTATCTCCGCAACTAAGCATTTTAAGACAAAAATTTATAAGAACTTTTTTACCTATTTTTATATGCAGAATATGCTGACGAAGTTTCCGGAATACAGTTTGGACCACCTGTATGTATAAATAATGCCTGGGCCAATTGCAATGAAACTTATACCGTATGATCGAAAAAACGGCGTCCAGTTGGCATTCCCCATATAATTTTACATATAAAATGACAGGGATATTCATATCGTAGCCATCGCTGATGCTGTTTTTTTTTCGATCATATTGTACAGCGACGGCTGGGAATGACAATCGATGATAATTTGTAACGTCAATCTCTAAATGTCATTTACTAAAAATTGACATAAAATTTGTCAAAAATTAACATTAATTATACACATCCCGACACAAATCTATTTCCAAAAAAATATCTTTTCTCCAAATTTAAATTACACCATTTAAAAATCATTTTTACTCAATATAAAAATAAATTACAACCTTGTTGGTCAACTCGCAATAAGCGCCATTAAAAAATACAGAAGAGTTACGGGCCAAGTAAATGACGTGTAGGACTTGACCTTGCCAAAATTATCGATTGTCATTCCCCACACAGCCGTCTTTGACGCCGTTTTTTCTCTATCGTAGCGAACAAGGCTTTTCAAAGCGGTTATAAGGAATATCTTTGACACATATTTAAAAATGTATACAGGATATATAATAGAAACTGTACCGTAACAAAATGTTAAATTTCCGGATAACAAATCGGGATAAACGTTCATTAACATCAATAGTATCGCCAGAATATTATTTCTTTCTAAACGGGTTGCTTCCCTTAAACAAAATAATCTAAACGTCCATTGTAAACTCCTGAAAAAAATTGATCTAAAATAAAATAGTCCCTCAGCAGAGCTGCGACAGGTAATTTAAAAAAACTTAAGTCTTAACTTTCTAAAATCAAAATGATTTGAGTCTTAAGTCAAATTCAACATAAAGTTCAAATGATTTATGTCTTATCAAAAAATGAATCGATTCGTTATTAAAATTTAAAAAAGAGTTTAATTTAGAAGCTTCATTCTTGCTTTATATATGAGTTTTGCGATAAAACGCAAGGTTTTCGAGTAATTTATAAAAAATGGCAGAAAAATATGCAGTTTGTAGATGAAAAATCAACATTTTCAATCCTAAATAAATAACTCGGAAAATATTAATTTTCTGAAAAAAATAATAGATCATTATTTGCTTAGAATTCATCCCTTTATTGATTTTTGAATGTAAAATGGGTGATTTATTTTTCACCCCCGAGAAGAGGTGGCACTCACCTCCAGGGTGAAAGCACACATCGCTACTATGTAAAATGGGGCTACTTTGTCACCCGGGGTAACTTTGTCACCTTGAGCGCGCTGATGATCTTAATTTTTTTTTTAATTTTTTTTAATTGTTGCTTCCTTTGCGAATACCTTTCAAAAAAAAATACGAATGTATGAAAAAACCCCGGGTAGCCGGACTAATAACCACAATTTCACTGAAGAACAGGAGGCGGAAGCGGTGCGCGCAGTGCGAAATGGTATGAGCAAAAAACAGGCGTCCAGAGTTTATCAAATTCCACGGAGCACCGTTAGTAACAGACATGTAACAGATGCCTTGGTAGGCATACAAAACCTAGAGATCATCCAACCTTCCTGAGTCAGGAGGAAGAAACCATCATTGCAAGAACCCTTGGCGTCGTTGCAGATTGGGGATTCCCGCTCAATAAACCCGATATCAAGCAAATAGTGAAAAAAAATATTATTTTAAGTTTCCTTATTAATATTACAGAATGTTTTTAAGATTTATTACGTTTGATAATATTATTTTCCTGTTGGAAATAAAGTATTTTGTACAATGATTTGTTTTTTTTTGCAGTTTTATTTTAAAAATTAAAAAATATACATATATAGGTATATACATTTTTTTCCGGGGATTCAATATATGGGCTTACTTTGTCATTCTAGCTATTTCTATGCATTTTGCAAGCATTTTTAATAAGGTGAATTGTCACCCTATTTTGTATTTTTTTCTAAATTCCTTATGGATGCTAAGCAGCTGGTTTTGTGGCTGCGCATACAAAATGATACCGTCGGTATACTTGATATTTTTCAGGCCGAAAATCGAAAAAATAAAAAAGTTACAGGGTAAAACATGATCAAAAGGTGACAAAGTAGCCCCGTTTTACGTAACTTTTGTTTCTTACAATATCTCTATTCACTGTTAAAATTTCACGTCAATCGGTGCGGGTGTTCAGAATTCGGACCCTAAAACCCTCGCTTACTAGCCTATAAGTTAGAATGTATACAAGGTGTTTCCAAAAACATGTGCCATCTCTGGTGGGGAGATTCCTCACGTAAAAATGAGATGAATTTTTCATACCAACATAGGTCCGATTCTGCTTTGTTTCGTAGTTACAGGGTATTAAAGCCTTAATATTTTTTCGATTTATTATAATTTTCTTCCAAGTACTTCGAATCAAATTTTGAGGGTAAAAGTTACTATAAATGCGACATATAAAGCTGAAAAAGTGTCGAGATAGTCACCAGGGATGTGCATATGGGTTATAACTGGAATATTTTTCTAAAGAAAGAATGTACGCCACTGACTTTTTTTTAAAAATAATTATGATTTTTACGTGTTTCTCCCCACGAGAGATGGCACATGTTTCTGGAAACACCCTGTATAATTATGTATGCTGAAATGAATTAAAAATATATTCAATTTATACGTAATATGGAGCAATTTTGCTTTTCTATTATTAAATAAGACAACATCGATTTTTTTTTCAACAGCAGAGTTGCTCGCTGAACCCTTTGTCTATGGCTGAACCCTTTCCTCCTGAATGGGAACGAATGGTAAGATGTATTCTAGTCATAAGTCAGAAAAAGCGGTTACCAAAGTGAAAATCTTGTAGGCGCTTTCATAGTTTGGGCGGTCGCCTTTTCCAAAACTAGAGGCAATATCTTTCCTACTATTGAGATATCCAGTATCTCATCGCCCCTAGGCATGCCTGGTTTTTCATTCGGATATCTGGCTCGCCAGTTAGGTTCTAGTCTTGTCAAAAGCGAATTTACAATGTGTCTTGCTAAAAATTTCTGACCTGTAAAAATATACACATTAAGATATTCTTATATTATCTCATAATCATAATGAGTCTAATTTCCGAATATAGATCATACCAAATAAAATTTTAGTCACGAGATTAAGCTTGACCTACACAGTATTGACCACTTTTACATATTTTATTTTAATCAAAATATTTTAGGAAACAAACATAAATTAATTATAAATATACAAACAGTTATTATGTATGTACAGGGCGCGTCAAATTCGACGCTTTTAAATGGAAAAATCCTTTTCTATAGGAGATAGACAAAAACTAATATCGGTGTCTGGAGTTCAATTTTTGTCAAAAACATGATGGTGAAAACCGCACATCGATATCTGTTACCGTTTCGGAGTTACGGGGTGTTTTTCAAAAATATGCATTTTTAACAAATCGCTGTAACTTTTTTGGTATGGAAAATTTTGTATTTTTATGAAAACATTTCCAAAGCACCTTTTTACGTAGAATTTAATGGTTTAAGTATAATTTTTTTAAAATTAATAATTTAAGAATTATCAACTGAAAATTTGATTTTTTATACGGGACACCCTGTATATTTTTAATTAACTGAAAAGAATTTAAAATTACCTTTCCAAAAATATAGCACACTTCATATTTTGTTTTGTAATAATCCCCTTCGAAATACAGAATTTTTAAAAGTTCGCCACTTTTAACTAGTAGGCTTTGGACCCCTCATTGATGATATGCCCTTAATGGAACTCGAAACCATATTTTTCCGTTATCAGCAAATTTCTACAGCCAATTTCAAGAATAATTGAATAGCTGACCAAGAACCCAGCCGTTGGTCGTCGAGGCCGCCTGATTTAGTGCCCATGAATCTTAACCTATGGATATATTTGCGGAAGAATAAAGGTTCCTTATTCTTCTGTATAATCTAGATAAGAATTAGAAATGCTTAGCAGTTATAAGAGGGTATCTTTCACCTCCACTTAGTTAATGAATTCCGCGAGAAATGTTCAAAAACTGCCCCGTCTGTCCGTAACAGAAGACGGTCGATATGTCGAACACCTGTAGCAAATCTCATGTCCTGGTTTGCCATTTATTTTTATTGTTATTAGATATACCGTATGATCGAAAAAACGGCGTCCAGTTGGCTTGGAAATGACGATCGATGACATTTCCCATATAATTTTACATTTAAAATGACAGCGATCTTCATTTCTAACGCCGTTTTTATTCGATCATACGGTAGTTTAAATGTGTTGATGTCGGTTAAATATATTTTAAATTGTTATAAAATTCTGCATCTCTCATAGCAAATATTATTTTCGTTTTAATTGATGCTCATAGCTTGAATTTTTTACATTACAGCCGGTGCCGTTCAAAGCCTACTTATTTAAAGCGGGCGAATTTTTATATACTCTATATCTCGAAGAGGAATCGAGCAAAATATCAAGTGTGTTATATTTTTGGAAGGTAATTTTAAATTCTTTTCAATAAATAAAATATACAGGGTGTCCCATATAAAAATCAATTTTTCTGTTGATAACCCTTAAATTATTAATTTAAAAAAATTAAACTAAAACAATTAAATTCTACGTAAAAGGCGCTTTGGAAATGTTTTCATAGAAATACAAAATTTTCCATAGCAAAAAGTTACAGCGATTTGTTAAAAATGCACATTTTTGAAAACACCCCGTAACTCCGAAACGGTAACAGATATATTGCTGTGCGGTTTTCACCATCATGTTTTGATGAAAATTGAGCTCCAGACACCGATATTAGTTTTCGTCTATCTCCTATAGAAAGGGTGTTTCCATTTAAAAAGCGTCGAATTTGACCCACCCTGTACAGGGTGGTCGAAAGTAGTCTGTTTTAACAGAGAAAACAGATTTCCTGACTAGATAGAGCAAAACCGACATAGATGTCATGGGCTCGATTTCTGAGATACGTTTAATTGCGTAAACCGCTTGTTGATATTTTCACAGCCAACAGAGATACGGGGCCTTTTTAAATTTTTTTACCATTTTGAAAATTGCCCATAACTTTTTTATTTCGCGTAATAATAAAATTCTGTAGAAACGTCCTTAAGGCACTTTTTTAAGCACAATCCAGTGGCGTAGTCATTTTTTTTCTATACTTGCTCTTTTTGTCAGAAATAATAAAAAATATAATTTTTTAAATAGAAATCGTAGTTGGCTATGAACTTAAAAAAATGCTGGCGTTTAACCCTTTCCAACAATATAAAGTTATGGGTATCTATTTTTAAGAATGAGAGAAATATGAGGGTTTTTATCTTTATACCGAAGCGGGCTTTGATTATATTTATGATATGATATGATATTATTTTATTATTTATCTGCATAATTAAAGACTTTTGAAAAGGTAAATTAACATTCCATTATTATTAGTATTAGTAATTATAACTGAAATCGATACAATAAACAAAGAACAAAACTAAAAAAAAAACGTATTTTTTGAGTGACGAATATAGTTTTCTAAAAAAATCAAAGATGTTCAAATTGAGCACCTCATTGTTGAATACACAATAAACATCTTTTGTGCACAGAGTTACAACGATTTATTAAGCGAACTGGTTTAATAAGTCCAAAAGCTTGCCTAGTAGCCTTTGCAATTCTTCTCTTGTCCTAATGGTTCTTCCTTTATATATAAGGTCTTTTAATTTCCCCATAAAAAGTCGAAAGGAGATAAATCACAGGACCTGGGAGGGAAAGATATGGGCCCCTTGTTCCAACCAATTCTCTCTAAATTCTCCATTTAATAGTTCAGTTGTAACTCTAGCGTTTTAATTGTAATTGGTAATACTAATGTTACGGATTCCGTGGGTCCACTATTTAAACTCACGATAAAATACTTAACGAATTTATTTGTTTCACTCTGTACACACAACTTATACTATTTACAACACAACTTATGCAACTACTATTACTCTAACGGTATTTCGCGGTATTTTCAAACTTCAGACTTCAAACTTTAAACTTGTCCAACTGTCAAGCGCGGGCCTTATATACCCCTGGCGGTTGTTTCTAGATTTTTCTAAAGAATTCTATAATTTTCTTTACTTTCTGGCGAATGCGCCAGCTTCCTCAATGCACCGTTGCGGTTATGCAACCAGTAATACATTTACCTTAACATTTGCCCCCTTCTCAAATTTGATCGTCCCGATCAAAGGTTTCCTGTCTGGTATCTCTTCAATCGATCCAGATGAACTACTTTCATCTTACTTCTAGGGCTGCGTTGAATCCGGTACACAACATCATTTATCCTCTTGATGACTGTATAAGGACCTTCCCATGCTGGAGTTAACTTTGGGGACCTCCCTTTCTTGCGCTGTGGGTTATATAACCATACCATATCGTCCTGTTGAAATCCCGTAGAATTAGCTCTGAGGTCGTAACGAGCTTTCATCCGGTCACTGGCTAGCGTAATCTTACTTCTCACGGCCTTATGAATTCCCAATAACCTTTCCTTCAGTTCATCCGCGTAGTCCTCTACGTTCGTGGTGCTGTCGTCTGGTGATCCGAACACCAAGTCACAAGGCAACCGTAATTCTCGACCAAATAAAATCTTCGATGGTGAAAGTCCGGTGGTGTTGTGAACTGCACTTCTATATGCCATTAGGAATAGTGGTATATGCTGATCCCAATCTCTTTGATGTTCATCCACCATTTTCGAGAGATGTTCTTCAATGGTCTTATTGAATCTCTCGACCATCCCATCAGACTGCGGATGTAAAGCTGTTGTCCTAGTCTTGTGAATACCAAGCAGATCACACATCTTCTGGAACAGTCTTGACTCGAAGTTCCTTCCTTGGTCAGTGTGAAGCTCTAAAGGAATTCCAAATCTACTGAAGACATTATTGACTAATACTTCAGCTACAGTCGATGCTTCTTGGTTTGGAATGGCAAAAACTTCTGGCCATTTACTGAAATAATCCATCGCCACTAAAACGTACTTGTTGCCCTTGTGCGTTTCAGGGAATGGGCCTGCAATGTCAACAGCGATTCTTTCGAATGGCAGTCCAACGTTATATTGTTTCATTTTTCCCCTAGATCGAGTGCTTGGTCCTTGGCTGGCTGCACAAATTTTACATTGTCGACACCATTTCTTGACATCTTCGCAATAATCCACCCAGTAAAAGCGATCTCTCAGCTTGCTCAAGGTCTTGTTTACCCCAAGATGGGCTCCAGTTTTACCACCGTGAATTTCTTCCAATACCTGGGTAACTTTCTTCCTTGGTACCAGTAACTGAGTTGTTACTGTCCTGCCATCCGCACTTTCCCACGTGCGCTTTAACAATCCATTCTCAATAACCAGTGAATTCCACTGAGCCCAGAGAGCTTTGAAAACGAGCCCTCTGTTTGCAATATCCTGCCACGGTGGTCTCTCGCCGTTACCTTCCTTGAGCCGTAGTATTGCTCCGATGTCTGGATCTTCCATTTGGTCGTTCCTCAATTGTGTCGTCGTCCACTGTTCATCGGTTCCAAGCTTAAAACTCCTTATCATGACAGTAATTTCACGTTGTTCCGTTTTACTGCAGTGCTTACAATCGATTTGACAGGGTCTTCTGGATAAACCGTCTGCGTTACCATGCATCTTTCCAGCACGATGTTGGATGGTAAAGTGATACTGCTGGAGCTTCTCGAGCCATCGTGCTATTTGACCTTCAGGTTGTTTCATCTCCATAAGCCATTTGAGAGCCGCATGATCTGTCCTAATTAAAAATTCTTGGCCATACAGGTATTTATGAAAATGATCAACTGCCTTCACAATTGCTAGCAGCTCCTTCCGGGTAACGCAGTAATTCCTTTCTGGTTTAGATAGAACTCGACTGTAATATTCTATCACTCGTTCTTCGCCATCTTGCACTTGTGATAGCACTGCACCGATGCCGATGTTGCTGGCGTCGGTATCCAGGATATACCTCCCTTGTTGTTGTGGGTAGGCTAAAATAGGACTTGAACATAAAGCCGCCTTAAGTCTTCCAAAGGCTACATCACAATCGGTGTTCC